AGTTTGCAGCATATATGTAAAATGCAAGATATTTGGGATTTAACATGAAGAGTTTAGCTATGAAAACGCAGCGCAAGTTATTTTCAAGTTTTAAACAAATTAGTAAGTGTTCCGTAAATGTTTATTTTGTCTATATCGATCGGCACACCAAATCAAATAATTATTTCACAAGTTATGAAATTATAGTCAAACATTCAGCAATCAGTCAGATTTGTTTTAATGTACATATGTTTTCAACAAAAAATTACTCTTTCGACCATATTCCTGACTTGTAAATAGAAAAGCTGGCGCTATCTACGAAGGAAATATTTATTTAAAACTAGTAACACAACAACGGGTATCTAGTAGTCGGGCCACTTGACGAAAGCGCTCCTTCTTGTTTTTTAACGTCCTTACTGCCCTTGCAAAGCTTGAATTCTTTCCCTTTCTTCATTCCACTCAGCCAGTCACCTCCTTCATTATAGCTGCTGCTTCTTGCTGTTGTTTTTTTTGTACCGCTTCTTTTGGCCTACGTGCTCTTTGCTTAATTTTAAACACCCCCTCATTTACATAAATGAATTATTTTCAACCCCAAAAAAGCATCAACAAAAAATTAAGATTGGTATACGGGAAAGCAAGGAAATGAAAATGAGAAACAAACTGAAAAGCGAGACAAGAAATTGCTGTGCATGCGCAAATTTTTCGAGTGCAAAGCGCTCTGGTAGAGAAAGACACGGAGAAGACGAGGTAGAATGGGTCTGAATGGCACTTAAAAGTAAGCTTAATGGGCAACTGGCCAAGTCAAGAGTTTATGCCATAAAAAAACCCAGAAAAAAACAAAAAATTTTGATAAATTTGGTTTTCTCTGTATTCGTTTGTACCCGGCTGATAACCGTTAAACGCAAACAATTAAAAATGACGGGAGGAAGCCGACTACACAAAGGCATAAAAATGCTTGAAGACCAGGTGTAGGTATATGTGTACCCTGTCCCCTCCTCCGTGCTCGCTTCAGGTTTTGGCATGAAATGACACAATTTCAATTTCAGTTTCAATTTTTTTTACCAAAGAAGGGGAATCATATTCCTTTTCTTTACAGCAAGGAAAGGCAACACCGGAGTGCAACTGCGCACGAACGTATGTCCAGGTCCTAGCCCTTGATTGACCTGCTCCTCACCCCCGCACTGAATTGGTAGTTGCTAGGTTGGTTGTCCGTTCATTCCTTTTGAAGCCCTCCTGTTTTTTGCAGTATTTGTTTGTTTAGCAGCCAAATGTCAAGCGGGCGTTGGTTTTAGTTTTCCCATCCGCTTTATTGTGATCCTTTGATCCACAGTTGCAGTTCCTTTTGGGCCCGCTCAAGAGTTAAGGCTATTGTTAGGAGGAGGGTGCGCTGCAGAACAATCCGCTAGCTGTTTCAGTAATGCCCTAAATGAGCGTAAAATATTAGGCAAGATTGGGCTTAGGAGCATATTGAGGCCTTTAATGGCTACCTGACTAGCATCTAATCAATCATTTTGGGTTTTTTTCTTCCAGACAATTGAAATCTATCTATTATTTGCTTTCAATGCGTTTGTCCCTCTGTACAAATTGAAAAGCAGATCTAATGAATTCTTAAAAGGCTTTGAGAAGAGGGCATATCAGTAAATGAAAAAAGTATTTTGAATATCGCCAATTCCTTGTAGAGCTTTGCCACATATTCGATTATCTGTTGGATATTAAGTTTCATTATTCATATATGTAAATAATTTGTTACAACCATCTCTATTTGGAATGGTAAGGTGTCCTTCATTTGATAACAGTTAACGGAAGTCTTGGAAATTGCAACGGCACTCGTCGAGTCGTCGTTACAGATTACAAGAGCAGGTGCTGCTTCTCTAGTTTTTGGCTTGCAGCCGTTGCAATTCGAAACCTGTTTCAGATTGCAGTCTCATAAAGAAAGGACGTAACGAGTAACAGAGATGCAATTACAGGCTGACATCGATTTGGTTTTAGTGATTAACATCAGAGCCATGAATAACGACCGTGCGTCTAGGTGCTTTTTACTATTAAAACCAGCAGAAATCAGCATGTCTTAACTTTATATTTTCTACGATTCAAAAAAATTCTTTTGAAAACAAACTCCCACCAAAGAGGCTCATGAAACAACTCAAAAGCCAAGACAAGTGGGCACAACGGAATCCAAACTTGTAAGTCCTTTTTCGACAGCTGCTTGGCTACCACGGAGTATTTATTTGCTTGGAGGCCGGGATTCCAGAAGAAAGTTCATTAAAATTATGCCCTTTTCTAATTTTTGAATTGGTTGCCAAAAGGAAGTAGGGAGGGGTATGAGAAGGACGCGGACCACACGATAGGAACTTATTTTTGCTTTCCGTCGTTTGCTTTTGACAATAATCACTGGACTGTTAATTTGTTTCCAGCACAATATTTGGTCGTTTTCTGTTTTCCTTTCCGGTTGAAGAAACTTTGACGAATGCAAATCAAAGAAATCAAAGTTTAGACTACAAAACAAAAACAGAAAAACTTTTCCAAATTATAGAACGGACCTCACTGGTGCGCTGGGATAGTATTGACTCTCACCCTTGGTAACAGAAAAAAGGCTTATCAGCTGCTGAAACCTCATTGGTTGCTTGGCCACTGCCCACTGGGCAAGGGTTGTGTATAAAAGGGTTATATTAAAACAATGGGCTTTTAACCCTGCCAGCTATTGGCACGAGCTGGAAAAGCATCCCTGCATAAAAATTGATTTTTTTCTGCTGTCGGCCCCTGCTCGTTTACACCATTTATCTTATGTATGAGCTTCGCTTATGCTTTAAATAATGTCAGGCGAGAAACAACCCCATCTCGAAAGAACAGGCGTCGCGCCACAGTACGATATGCAAATTTTTTCATTAGGAGTGAATTCACTTACTAAAGGCATAAACGAATCTTAATAATGAATGCGTCGAAAAACAATAATTTAACACTCGGTAATCTCAGCCTTGTTTTTTTGCAGTAATCAAAAATATATAGACTTTGTAAAGTTGGAAACGCATGCTTCTTTTCATGTATATTTTACTGAATAAAAAAACCTTTCCTAGTAATCCTTTCACGAGGGCAATAAATCCCCTAGGCAATGGTTGTGCTTTGTCTGGAAGAGTACGCATAAGTCGACTTGGGTAATTTGTCCTATTAAGTTCGATAACATTTCTCCCGTTTCCCATTTTAACGGTGGCAATACAGGGCTGCCAGACTGATGTTGCAATAAGAAGCCCGCTACCCAGCAAACTCATTTCACATCTTGCGTATTGAGCACCCCCATCACTTAATTTTTAACGAAATGCTGTTGAACGCCATCGTATCTTCGTCTCGGTGTATACTAGAAAAGTATGCGCTGCCTTCCAAGGGTTGCCTCGGGGGCAAATAATTTATGGCACCCGTGTGTTCTGTCTCCTGGCTTTAACCAAGTTCCATGTATCCTTCCATTTTGCCTCGTTTATTCATAGCTTCTCTTCGGTGGTTTTGGCTAATCTGACTTGAGCCTAATGAGAAAAATCTGCAACGTGCGTTTATCGAATGCGTGCGGCAGTCTGTCTTCATTTTTGCTTGTGCCGCTTTAAACAAATTTCAACTTTATAAGTATTGGTGTTTCTGCTCAAATTATTTTACTGAACTATAGTATCGTTTGTAAATTATAATGATTTCAAAGCTTTTATAAAGTTTAAAATTTGTTTTTTTATTTGAAATGTGTATAACAATTTATATTTAAAATGAAGATTTCAAAAGCACGCATTTATCAAAATAAAAAAAAAATAACAAAACGGCACTGTTGTTGACACATTGCGAAGAGCAATTAAAATTTTCCATTTCATTTAACAGAAAACCCAAAAAGTTTAACCTCTAAGAGTTTTATATGTTTATTTGCTTTCGTTTATTTGTTTATTTGAAGTTTATCAAAAAAAAAAGAGGATAGAAAGAAGAGACGCAGAAACCGAAAATTTTTCTTGATTTTGTTCTTCTCAAATAACCTCCTACATAGGCTAGCCACAGCGGCCGTTAATTTACACCGAATTTAGTTCACTATTAACATGTAAACCCAGACCCAGTATTATGTGAGCTGTCGAAAAGGAAAACAAATTAAAGCGCCTGTCAATTGCAATTATTTTGCCCACAGGCAGATATCCGCTTCAGTAACATCCGGAGGTGGAGGAATTAACCGAACTGATCAACCGTTTCCTTGCACTTAGCAAGCAAAGAAATCGAATTGGTTTTTTGATTAATAATCGGCTGCAAGTATTTTTACAACTAAATAGTGTTGGTATACCTTAAAAATATGCAAAAAATGCAGAGCAAGTAAAATATGTCTGTAATGGCAAAAATCAGTTTCCCAGAACTCGAAATAAAAAAATAGAGTAAGCATGCAAAGAGGCAAAAAACGAAATACAAATTTAAACAAAAATGGTACCACCATCCATCAACCAACTGCAACAGAAACTAGTGTAACTATATATAACCGATTAGAGGAATGCTTACCAAAAACGTATTTAAAATATTTTCTCTTTATTATATCCAAAAACAATATAATAACTTCCACTGTTAGGTAACGAAATATTTAAAACTTGTACTTTAAAATGCTTTGCTCAGTATTTACACAATGAAATTGATTTTCTTACTGTGGACGCCCTCCAAAGAGTATTTGCACTTATCGGAAAATTTGAATGACAACAAATAAAAAGGCCCAATGGATGTTAAGCCATTCACCTTCTTGCTTCCCAAATTTATGAAGATGTTTTATATTGAGTGACACACAAAAGCTGACCCAAAAAACTTTTCAAGTGTGACATGTCTTTCTAAACACGCATTTGATTTCCTACAATTTATAGATAGCTAAGCTTGTAAATTGTGTTTATATAGTCAGTGTCCTGCGCATAAGGAAGAAGTATAGCCAAGGGGTCTGATTATTAAATAATATAATGCTAAGCCAGCAACTTTACATTTATCCCTATTTACAAACGGTGAATTTTCAATTGTCAGAGAAATCCCAACTCACACATTACCATATCTTTAAAAGTCCAGGTTAAGTTTTCGAAGCGAGCATGGGTACCTGTTTGGAACGTTATTTTTGCCCTAATAAACCTGTGTGCAGCTCAGGCAGAAGAGCCACTTTCTACTATCCTGGAGGTGGGTCCTACTCAGGTTATTGGTTATGCAACGAACACCAGGGTTGGGGGGTTAAGAAGACGGCAGTGCGAACTTCTCAGTATTATTTGGGTAAGAAGCAGCCCCAAGGTCAGCTTGTCTACGAGGGTCACTGGGTGATGAACAAGCGGCATGGAGTCGGATCAATGCTACGCAAGCGTGGGACTGACGTACAGTTGATATATTCGGGAAGATGGTACGATGACATGAAGTGTGGGGAGGGCAAGCAATTTTATCCCGACGGGTGCGTCTACTTCGGAAAATGGCTGAGAAACCGACGCCACGGACTGGGCGTTCAATGGTACAAAGATGGGAGAATCTATGCGGGCGAGTGGGAAGCTAATTTCCGACACGGCTTGGGCGTATTGTTCTACGGTTGGTATGATACAATAGTCAAACTGATATTTCTCTTAACATTTTTTATGAATAAAAACTAGCTAATGGCAATAGATACGAAGGACACTTTGCACGAGGATATAAAAATGGTGAGGGAGTATTCTACCATATGCACACGGGTCAAATCCAGAAAGGAATGTGGGAAAACGATAATGTCAAGACATCGATCATGCAAGATGATCCCAAAATACGATGCAATCTTGCTGTAACGCCGTATCCGATACCTCGAAACTATCTTAAATATCCCAACGAAATTATGCGGGAACTTTTTAAAAATTATAAAATTTTTAGCGATAAGCCTCATCGTAGATTTAATGACAAAGTCAGTCTTGACTTTATTCACCATCACCGAAAATACGCTTCCTTTGAAGAACGCTTCGCGTCGCCAACAATTGTAGACCTCTACCCTGGTGCTGAATTTGCTTGTACTTGTGATTGCGAACAGGTTGCCAGAAATGAATCCAATGTTACTCAGATTTAGCTTTGTAAACCATTTTCAGCCCTATTGATTGCTTAAATATTAAAAAACTAAATTAGTTGTGATGACAATTTTGAATCTTCATTTTCAGTGCAACTTAATAACCCCTATTAAGCCAGTAAGCGCTTTATATAAATTGGTTATTAAATATTTACATTTCATATACTTGACATACATCTAAACTAGCTGTATTGTCCTACCAAAGTTATAAAATGGTTTTGCTGGAACTTTAAGCCGACAGTGTGGGACTTTTTTTTAATGGACGCTAAAATACCTGCGATTCCCCATCACCCATCCGCTACCCAAAGAAACGGACTTGCCACGCCCAAGACAAACCACCCACCCACCATCCACAAAAAAGACACCCACGTTTTCTACTTAATGATAAAAGAAAGGACATTAGCGGGCCTCGGCGCATCTCCACGTTTCGAGCGCCTTTCAAGTGAAAAGCAAAGAATTAAAAAAATTAACAAAAAAGGTCGGAAAAAAAGCAATGGGAAAACAGGGAAGCAACAAAAAATGGGGACGCGCACAATGAAAGAAAAGAAAAAGATTTTAAACCATCTCCCAGTGCACGCTCTTCGTAATGCTCCTCCTGCTAGCTCTCCATTTATCAAGTTCCTTTTATTTTGGTGCGCGGGCGTAGTTAAAAATTAATAAATGAAATTAATGCCGGCGACACTTTGCAAGGCATTGGCCAGTAAGGAAGTTGAAGATGTTGCCAAGGTTTTCCTTTGACTTCCCTCTGTTTACATCAAAAACATTTTCATTTGAAATATTAAGCGCCTAAAAGTCGATAATGCTTTTTTCTTGCCAGTGACAGCTGCGTCGCATGAATTTAATTAGAGCCAGCTGAATTTTACTAGGGAGGCAACACTTTTTTTTGGCGACCAAGTCCATCCGACGCAATTAACTGCCCTCTCTGCCAAGACACGAAAGTAAAAACTTTTAAGGAAAAAAATCTCTGTAAATTCATCTTTGTCGCTGCCGGTGATTTATCAAAAGCGAGAAGAGGCCAAAAAAAAAAGAGCACTGCGCGCCCTGACCCATTGAACAGGTGTAATTCTGGGGAAAAAAGTATATATATATACTCTTTTAACTGTCCCCCCGGAGCCGTTAGGCAGTCACTATACATTTTTAAAAGTTTAAAACTAATATGCAAAACCAAAAACAGGCTTGGTAGCGGATTAAAAAGTTATGCGCGCTCCTCACAGCCACGAAAGGAAATTGAAATACCTAAGCCGAAAGCCGTTTTTTTAACTATATTACTAAATTTTAGAATACTTGTGAAATTATAGCTCTCACGATGAAACGTTCCCATCAAATTGTTACAAAAAACAAAGGTTTTTTTATTTTTGTACTTATAACTATGTCCTCAAAACTATTTGCGCTTGACTAGTGGTTCTGTATACGCGGTAATTCATCTAAAATACCACCTTCGGGGTTTTGGATAGACACACGAGGTTCAAATATAGCTGGACCGAGACCCGATAATGGTGAACGTGACGGATATGTAACCGGATTGATAACAGTCCTTCCAGGCGGGAACATTTCATCAAAGGTCGCAGTGGCAAGGATTTCATTTGCCACATCTAAAAACTTTTTTGATAGGCCGTGCTCTAATCCTGGCACAATCTCGTTTAGATATAATTCCTGATTATTGTTGAGGAGGCTGTTTCCGACATCTCCCAAAATCCGATCTCCATTGAAAAGGTTTTCCAGGTTCAATTTGAAGTCCTTAAAATTAATGCGCATGGTCATTTTGGTAAACTTTACATAGTCTTTACCATTTCGTAGGTAGCGAGAGCCCCGCATTTTAACAGATGCTTTTGCATTTTCTGGTTTAGAATAAAGTTTTTGGATTTTCGTTTTTATGACAAAAGCTTCAACTTACCACAATATCCCTGCATGTTCCCCCTTCCTTGTATGTCTAGGAGCAGCAAGTTGAGGTGCAATGAGTACTTTCCTCTAAAGTCGATGCGCGGAAGAGTAATCCAAAGGTCATACGATATATCTAACGGTTTGGCACTTTAGGTTAAAGACAAAGACTTTAGAGAAATGAGGCATTTACAAATATTAATACTTATGTACATAAGGCGATCAATAATAAAGTTACTCCCTCCATTGGCCTCGAGATCGGTAAACACAGCTTGAAACTGGCTACTCCGTCCTAGTTCGATATTATCTAGGGACAAGGGCTCCAATGGAGGCGTTCTATAGCCTTCCCCCAGATTTCCGTGAACTAGTAGTGGCCTTATTTGGTAAACAGCGTTGATAATACAACGCTCCAATTGAGGATCATCTCGGACACATGGTCTGATTGTCGACGCTTTCAGAAAAGTGAAAAAAACGACATTATGAGTATTATGCTTTGGTTAATGTCGGTTACAAATTTACATATTTATTTCTTAAGACCTTCCAGACCTTGACACATAAATTAGCATGCAAGTCACACAATGCTGCTAAAGGTCTGATTCATTCTTAGCAGTTGGAAACTTACGCAACTTTGAATGGGCATAGGGGCACAACGCCAATAACCACAACAGCAACAACCCAAAATCTATGCAACGCCAATAGGAAAGCATCAGTAACGCGTTTATTCGTTTAAAAAGTGTTTAACGTTAAGCGTTAGGGATCTGGGATTTGAATAAACCGTAGTTGTTGCGCTCGAGCGATCGACTAACGATTCATAAGGCAGTATGCTGTGCTTTTAATTGAATTAAGCAAGCTTAACTAAAGTCTCTCTCTCGCGACATTTTCGTAGCTTTTAACGTGCAGCTCGCTTCTACTGACACACAAGGCAAATATATCTATTGGAAATTGAGAAGCGAATACGTCCGCTTTACCCGCTCAGGGGCACGTGAGTTGTCGCCCTGCATGTAAAGTTAAATTTATTGTATTTTAAGTGAATTAAAACAAAGCTGAATATGCGGTTGTAATTCTAAATAATATATGCAAGTAAATCAACTGCGAAAATTTGAATAGTAAATTTGTTTAGCCTCCTCAAGGGGCCCAACTTCGCGCTTAAGTTGTTGATGCGGCAGGATAGAACAAAACTAGATTGAGAATAACATCAACACCAATCAGAAACCAAAAAATGTTTATATTTTTGATGCAAATTTTTGATTTGGTAATGAAGCAAACAAGCAAAGCACAAAAAAAACCTAAGGAAATGGTCTAATTTTGCCACCACGAGAAAGGAAAAAGAATCTACATTACAAGCTATTTCATAGAAAATAGGTGTTCAAAATTGAACACTATAAACAGTGCGTTTTTGAATAAAATTAGTTTTCCGTTTTTGATATGGCATTCAAAATTAGGTAATGGATCAAATTATTCTGTTAAATCAAAATAAATGACAACTAGATAAAAATTATATATATATTAATAAAAAGAAAAACAAATTAACGGTAATAATTATTATAACAAAGTAATTGCCTTCGGTCAGTAACAACCAACCAAATTAAAAAAGTTATTCTAAAATTTGAAACCATTAAAAATTAAAAAAAAATGTTTACTATAGTCGGCCGATCTTAACGAAATTTGAAACGTAAGTCCAAATTATTAAACCATGAATACATTTCGAAGAACTAAAAAAAATTAAAAAACAGCAAAGTTCCTATGGGAGCTATATGCAATAGTCATCCGATCCGGCTCGTACCGACTTATATACTACCTGCAATATTAAGAGAACTTTTGGAAAAGTTTCATTTAGATAGCTTTAAAACTGAGACGCTAGTTTACGTAGAAACGGACGGACGGACAGACGGACATGGCTAGATCGACTCGCTTAGTAATGCTGATCGAGAATATATATACTTTATATATAAATGCCTCCTTCACTGCGTTGCAAGCATTCTGACTGAAATTATAATACCCTCTTAAAGGGGTATAAAAATTTAAGGAAACCCAAAAGTTCCTAAGGACATTGCTAGAATGACACTCCTAGTATATATATATACTTTAAATGCCTCCGTCACTGCAGTGTAAACTTCTTACTGAAATTTCAATACACTCTGCAAAAGCATCAAAATTTAGGGAAACACAGAAGTTTATACAATTTTTAATCTAAACGAGTATTTTATAGTGGGAAAACACCCTCCCTGTTAAAATCAAAAGTTAGCTGATCATAAAACCTGCAACGCATTTAAATGATGGGTCAGAAAAAAAACCCAACGCAAGCAGCCTCTATTCAAGCTCCACCTTACCAACAACTTTTTTTATTTATGCTATTTTCAAGAAGATAGAATCACATCAAATTTGTAACAAATTACATTTGATGCATGTAATAAAAATCCCACACAGCTGGCAAAACGAAAAATCTCTCTTACATCAATAGGCGTTCACACCGTATTTTGGCCTAATTAAGTTTTCAAGTGCAATAAAATGATGGCTGGACTCTGCGACTCAGGATGTTCAAAGAAAGGAACGGAGAGGCAAGGGCGCAAACGCCCCATTGCGTGCAGGCATCAAATTTGCGCTGAAGTACATAAAACACAAGTTAAAAACTTAAATGGATTTACCACAAAATGACGAGAAGCGATGATGGTGAACGTACACGAACACACGTATCCGAGCTGTTAAAATTTCTCTTATTTCTGTATTAGTTGAATCTTGCCCTCATTTCTTTATATTGGAATTTGGGTTTATGTATTTACAACAATAATAACAAAGAAAATCCGGTAAACGCGTTTAAAATATTTCTGTTTATATTATATATTATATTTGAAGGGTTTGAAATATTATATTATATATTATATTTTTTTTGCAAAAGTTTCTGTTTTTTTGATTTAAAAAAAGTACGAAAGGAAGCAAACTTCGGCAACCCGAAGTTCATATACCCTTGCAGCTATTGCAAAAACTAAATATTCTTGAAAACATTAAAATTATGATTGACTTGCGTATGTTTAATAACATTAAGCTATGATTATTTGCAGCTAAATTATTCGATAGTTCCTGTGGCAGCTATATGATATCGTTTTCCGATTTTAATAAAATTAATTCTGAACTGTCAAATTAATAATAAGACAAAAAGAATTAAAAAATAAAAATTACAAAATAGAAAAGTTACGTTAAAAAAATATTTATATAATTTTATTGTTTCCATGGGAGCTATATGATATAGTCGTCCGATTTTGATAAATTTTAAACCGTAATTCCAAAATATTTTACTATATGTATGTCGAAGAACTAAAATAAAAATTAAAAACAGCAAAGTGGGAGCTAAATGCTATAGGCGTCCGATCCGTCTCGTTCCGACTTATATACTACCTGCAATAGAAAGACAACATTTGGGAAAGTTTCATGCAGATAGCTTTAAAACTGAGAGACTAGTTTGCGTAGAAACGGACAGACAGACTGACAGACGGACATGACTGTCTGATCAAGAATATATATACTTTATAGGGACGGTGAATTCTCCTTCACTGCATTGCAAACTTCTGACTGAAATTATAATACCCTCTGCAAGGGTATAAAAACCGTGTACCGTATATTTTAATTCGGGGTGATAAGAAGTACGCCGAGGGGCTAGTATTTTGATAAATATATCCTCTTGATAAAAAATATTTGAATTTGTAATTTTAAATAGCTAACCTATAATAATAGAAAAGGTGTTCTTCAAACGACTGAATCTTTAAATCATTGAAAATTCAAATGTTTAAACTTTAATTTTGTAATATTGATTACGCGATTTGTCCGCGTAAGAGTGAGCGTGAGCAATTTGTGAAATAAACTTGCGCTGAGTAGGCATAACAAGAATCTGCATGCTGAACACAAATCTCTGGACAGACAGACAAATGAAACCAGACGGCGGAAACGATCCATATTCAACAAATAAATTATAACCGTCTACTCTTATTTTGTAAAATCCATTTACATGGCTTGGGTCTTCGGAACACGTTTATCACAGTTCTTACCCATGGTTTGAGTCTGGACTCTTTACACTAATTAAATATGAGCAATGACATATTTTAGTGCTGCAGCACTAATTTTTAACAGAAATGTTAAAGTAGCGTCAGCGAGATAGCGGCGATACAGGAACGTTGGAAATAGGAACGTTTATATTTTTTAATTTTCTGTCTATATAAATAAATGTTGATTTGTTTATAATAGAAAGATCTTACGGTACAAATAGGCTTTGAGGATATTTGTTGCGATAAAAATATGGTTATCGCTGGACGTTTCCGCAACGTTGCTGTGCCGCTGCCCATAATTTCTGGTCCTTAGCACGCGCAGTTCATTTTTCTGTAATAAGATATAATAAGAATAATTAAGAAAATGTTCACTTCAATATTTTAATATACACTAGGAAATGGCTGGATAACCGGACAACAAAAACGGTAGAGTTTAATAGCTTGTAGGGATAATAAAAATAAATAGTTAATAAGATGTTTATTCGTTGTCAGACAAAAATGCGGGGAAGTTATTTTACAGTTAAACATCAGCGCAACTTCTCCGATAATTTTTCGTAACTTTTACTTTTTTGGAAGACACTAAGTTGATATTAAAATGGTTCGTCCAACGCTCGTCAGCCTGGGCAAGCGAGTGCCGAAGGACGTAAAAAGCGTTGATAAAATTTGACAAGCTTGAATTGTTCCGTGGAATGAAGTTCTTGTCGGCAGACAAATTTTATTTTCAGTTTACTTTCAGTTTACAAGCATTTCCTGCCCGCAGATGGAAATTGAAAAACATCGATGTTGCCCTGCCGAACGAAACGGCGAGCAGGCAGAAAGAGCTGCTGCTGGATTAGCCCTTGGATTCCCAAGATCCATCTCCAAAAGTGTCTGCAATCATGGAGCCGGAATCCATCGCCCTGATCAGTTTTGTTGTAACGGCAATGTTAAATGTTTTCCTAACATTTTTATGTTATTATCGTTTTCCTAACATTCCTATCTTAGATGTGAAGAGTAGAGTAGAGATGGAAAAACACGATGTTGCCCCGCCAAACATCGATGACATGGATGTTGGTATCGGTGTTTCTCCACCTCTACTTCGACCGGCGTTATTTTAAGTGACGACGTGTATCTAAAACTATAACTAAGTGCGTTTCATTTATATACATACATATACAGTATATCGGTGGCTAATCTACTGTCAAGAAAAAATTGTGGAAGGACTGAAGAACTGGGGAACAGAAGCTTGCTGGATTGAGTGTGATTCCCAAGTGACGCTTATAGGAAAGTCACACGCACAAACATACGTACGTCGTCCTTGTGTTGGCATTTAAATATTTTTAAGTGAAGAATCAAAATTTCGTCGTTAGCGATAGGAGATCGCTGCTTAACTCAACCAAAGTTGACGCACATCTGAAATGTTAGGAAATTTATGTTTTAAAATAAAATGTTATGATGTTTACACATTTATTTCTTTTAGTAAATCCAAGTATTCAACCATTAACGTCCTTTACCAATCGATATTGGCATCCATGTTTCTCCCACTTCAATTGTCAACAGGAACAACAGAAAAAACTAAATATATTATTTTAGCCGTCATTCTCGTCTCACAATACTATTGTTCAGCGACATGTACGTATAGGAAACTGTGAAAATGACCATAAATATTTCATTTGATTTGTTTACTTCAGACAGGCGTAAGCACAGAACCGACCATCAGCTTGCAAAATTCGTTTTCCTTCAAACAATTGTCGACAATATTGGGTACCTTCTTAAAAATGCATCTTTTCCAATCCTTCCACACCTAGCAAGAAGAAAAATAAAATAAAAATTTGAAGCACCTCCTTTTCACCTCCACCTTCTTGACAGGCGGACCTACGCTTTTCAGCTCCTTCTCTTCCAGGAAGCGTCCGCCTAGAGGACTAGAGCACTCACACCTCTGAAGGATGCAGTCGCCGTGATTTTCGACTTCTACGGCATGGCAGACACCATCGAAGCGCGTTCCTCACCCAAATGGAAAGGCCTCAAGGCCTCTCTCTGTCTCTGCAAAGATTTAAAACTGTCAACGCTGATGTCAATGTCATAATCAATGATATGAAAAAATAAATGGATATAGAAACGGATAAGAAAATTATCACATAAATATTAGGAGTTCAGGTGTAAAACTGGAGCCACGAACTACTAGAGCAGTAGTATCAGCCAACAAAAGCTAGATGAGGAATATGCTTATTTAATAATAACCAACTAAAAATTTTAAAATGTGGCTTTCAGATAATAAATGAGTAACTTTTTCTATAAAGCACTTTTTGCTCTAAAAGTTTAAGACTAAATGTTAGACCGAAAACTCTCTCTCTCTCTCTTCTAGACCTCTCTTTTATAGTCTGCAGACAATATACCTAAATATACCATAAACAGCATGCAACATAAACAAGTTATTTTGCCCAACAGGTTCACAACTATTTACCCAGTCCTAACCCTCCATATCTTATCACTGCTAACTGATAAGAATTGTCTCAAAGATTACAACAGTTGCCTGAGTCGGCACATGGGCGAGGCACAGCTCTAACTGGGCACAGCAGTTACCACTCAGTACGAAAATACCATCAGGTTGAACAAGGTAATACAGCAGTGCGGTTTAATTAATTTAAAATTAAATTTAAACATTATTCGATAAGTCTCTCGGAATTTAATAAACATCATTGTGCATAAAGTAATGTGTAGGTTACAAAAAAAAAAGAATTGGCAAAATTAGTTTTTGGAAAATCCAACACAAAATAAGTTAAAAGAATGTTTAGGAATGGCTGGATATTCGTTTTTTCAGTTAGGTTAAACTTTTTATCTAATCAAAGCGCCTTAAATTATCGTGTGGGACGCGGGTCCGCAATGTTCTTTTGTGTATTTTACACCTGACTCATTTTCCTATGTATCATGAATCGCAAAGTATGGCTTATCAGTTGTATGGTATTACCAATCTATATGGGACAAACTATAACAGTACTCTCGAATGAATATGGCATACATAGTACACTTGACTCATAAGCGTTTACATTGCTTTTTTTTAATTGACAAAATAATATTGGCGAAAACCGTCACCTTTCCTGCGTTTTAATAGTTTACTTTACTCATAAAAATAAAGCCTTTTTGTTTAACTTGGGTAATGTATTATAATTTTTCTCATTTATAGCTAAATCGTTCTTCAACGAATTGGACATTTTTAAAATGAAAATATAACGCGACTTTAATATAGAAGACGTAAAAGTTAGGAGTAGATTAAGAATTTTGTTAAAAGTCTATAAAAAAACCTTTTTGGTTATATACATACTCATCCTTGCTTTTTTGATAGTATTTAGTAAGTCGCTAACCAAAAAGGACTAGAACGCTTTACTTGATTCACTCGTTTCTTATTAACCAAATAGTTTGGTATTGCTCAAAAAATATTTTCGTAATGACTAAGATGTAAGATTAAAATTTCAACATTCACACTAGGTAACCATTTACACATCCATAGTTTAGACCCCTGCCCGCCCATTGATAAGCCACCTGCGATAAGAATTTGTGTGTGTGTGAGTGCAATCATTGAATCCCCTGGCTGCCTGTCTATATTGAAGTTACATAGCAAAGATAGGCAGTTGCTACTGGCTTGTAACTTTACGTGTCAGGGTCAAATCAGCTTTTATTAGTAAATGTGTCAATATTCTCTAATGACCCAATCACTTTGTTCTCTAGGTTCACAACGAAATCGAAATACCTTAAGCATGAAGTCAAAACAGTTTCTGGCAGCAGCTGCCTGCCTGGGTGTGGTCCTAGTTCTGGGGGTTGCAATGGCACAGGAAAATGCAATGCTTCAAATACCCCCTTCACTGGTCGAGTGCTACAACACATCTTTCTTCATGAATCGGGATAATCGTTTACCGGCCAACATGGACACTCTCATTTCGCTTATTGAGAAGGTGGAAAACAGCTACGCCGGAACATCAGGTGTGCAAGCCGATATTCGAACCGTGGCGGTGTCCCTGTTGCATCGTTTCCGTCAAGACGGTATTAAAAAAGCCCCTGGAATTAATGCCGTCAACGGCGTAATACCATACAGCCCAACAGGCTTTCAGTTTCCGAAATTCAAAATCTTGCTTTCACGTTTGATTCCGGGAAATGCCAACAGCTTTCCCAACAGTTCCTTGACAAGTGTGGAGCGGTGCTCTCTTCATTTTTTGCTATCAAGCACCTTTGACACAAGATTGCGCGGCGATGAGAACACAGTGTGTAATCAGCTATCTCAGTATCGAGCCCAGCGATTGCCGCGATCACTGAAGAAGGATTATGACAACAACTTTATTGGTGATGTTGAATGGCTCGAGACGCGCCCTAAGCGAGGTCGTTCCTCCACCTCCGAATCAAAATACGGACAATTGGGAGAAATGGACTATGAATCCGATTGGGCCTATGCCGGCCCGGAAGGTCCTAGCCAATGCCCCGTTGAAGATGGCCTTGTTCGAACTCGCTGGGGAACGGTTTCAGCCGGCACCCTGATTGCCGGAATCGCAGCTGGCGTTCAGCAGCAGACAGTCCAATTGAACACCCTGCTAGCTCTGGCCTCTCAGCGAGGTGCACGTGGTCGCAGTCAGTTCCAGACAAGTAATAGCATTGACAACCGGTGGGCGGCTACTTTGGCCGGAGACTTGGCTGAGGTGTCATTGGTTCAGCTTCCAGGGTCGAACAGCAATGCTGCTTCTGTTGGAGCTACAGGAGGATGGAATGATACTGTTTTACCCCACTGGTACTTTTTATCGCAAAGGACCAATCTTGAGGCGACCGATGCCGAGATCCGTGGTGGCCTTGATGGGTTGATTCTTGCCAAGAATGTGGCCAATTGGAGAACTCAAGCATCCAGCCTTAAGCTTTCTCAATTGCTACGCATGTACTACTCCACAAATGGAGTACTTAGTTCCGGTATCAATGCCTGCAGTAGGCAAAGCCAATTCACAAATGTAGCACCATCACAGGAAATGGAGGACCAGACTAGTGCGTTTGCTCAAGTATTGGATCGTGAAATGCAGCTACGTGTCACCCTCCAACCATCCGCTATTGCCGAGTTTGCCGGCAACGCCACCCTATCTCTCGTGACGTATGTGCGTAAGTAATCATTATTTTAAGCTTTATTGCGGAACCACCTTTCATTATTAACACAGATTCTAAGTATACCCTACATTTTGATTTGTCTTAAGCTGTTAATGTTTATTTAAGCTGCAACGAGGTAGTTATTTTGAATTTTTTGTCGTCGTGTGCACTACGACCTTCGTTTTTTTGTATTATTCCTCAAACAGCACAATCCCTTAACGATGTGTCTTGTACGGCAACAAGTAATCTTGACTTGACGGATGTCATTACTCCAATGACTAATCTGTACATTTTCCTGGATACATCCTGGCAGTATAGAACCATTGTTGACTACGTAGTGTAAGTGACTTATTTAACCCATTCCAGACCTTCATTATAACTAAATAATTTTTTAGTTATGTCATTCAGCAGTTAAATATTCACCCATACGCCAGCACGGTCACCATGCTTTCGGCACAAGATGGGTCGGTTATTGTAAACACCACAAACTATATTACTGATGTATATCAGCAATGGAATGTGACTACGCATGCGACATGTAAGCTATCATTTAATAGTTATTTGCTTTACTTAAAAAGTTTTTTCTAGATACTCAAGGATTTAATCTTCCTAACGTGCTCCGAACGATTCAGAACCTAACCCAAAGCTTAATGAACGTTGAAAAGACCAATTCCAGTTTAAGTGGTCACTCCCTGGTGGCATTAATCATTCCCAATCAACAAACTGTTAATGATGGCGACTCCAGCTACGCAACTACAGAAATTCAGTACATTCGAGAACAGATTCCAGACCTGCGCTTTATATATTATGGCGGTGGAAGTATTCAGCGGTTTTCGAGCTTTGTTCGCGATCCCTCCCAAGATCTTTTCTCCCTTTCTTTGGGCAGTACGGCGGCAACTTCGGCAGGACCCGTAGCGAAACGCATTATTCAAAGTAAACAATAATTTATATATTTCTTTTATTAATTATTTACCCAATATTTTTCCTTGCAGTTCCTCGTCGCGTCATTAACCCTCGTTGTGGATCGAATTGGTACACAAATAGTTGGGGTACTGATCAAACGGCCCAATATGTTGGGCCCGGCAAGGTTAACTTTTACCGAGTCTCTGCCAACTATTTCTTTGGAGCTGGGGCGAACCGGTATTTGACCATTCAGTCTCAGAACGGAGGAAGTTACACCATATGTACTTCACGCTCCTATTCGTGGCCGCAACAGAACTCAACAACGAGCACGACGGCCAACTCAATAGATCAGAGCTGCACTCCAATAACTGGAAATAGTTATAGTTATGACCTTTCAAGCGCCTGTAATGGCTACTACACTATCACCCAGTGTCCAGACTTGTATTTGTCAGTTCAGGCAACCTCAAACACCACATCCTGCACACAGGACGCCTGCCAGACGCCGGACCAATGGCGTTATATTATGTCTATGGTTAACATGGGATGCTATAGCGGTGTCTCGGGCCTGGCAGGCAGCCTGATGACAATTCTATTTGCCTTGTTATTACAGAGACTGATTCAGTGATTGGTGTCTAAATTATGGTAGTATTAGAGGACCGGCGTCAAAGTTCAATGTCCCGTTCCGCTAACCTTAAATATTATTTTGTCGTTTAAAATTGCTAATATATTTTTTCGTACATAAGTAAAAGTTCCAGTGAAATAGTCGTAATAAATGTTCTCTACTAGAACTAAAATTTCCGTTTTAATTTTACCTTAAGAGTGGTTCCCGGTAGGCTCTCTATGTGAAAGTAAGACAAGCAGAGACTAAAGTTTAACTATCTATTACGTTTTAGCGACTTTGGACTTATTTCCGTCTCAACAACGGTCTGATATATCGAACTCAACTACAGTTATGACTAATATATATGTATTTGTCGATACTTACTGGCCATACAACTGGGTTGTTGATTACGTTGCGTAAGTGCGCTAAGCGGGGGAAACAAATACAAATATTAACATAATCTGTTTCAGCTACGTTCTTCAGGGTATTAACATTCACCCGTATGCTAGTAAGGTAACCGTTTTCGCAGCTTCTGATACGTCAGTCATTGTTAATACCACCGACTACATTATCAACGTTTATGAGGCATGGAATTCCACATCACACACTTGGCGTGAGAATGAACTAAAATAAAAGGGATCCTTCTGATTAAATATTTATATTACAGATCCAACTGGTTTCAATCTGCCACGTATTTTGAACACTTTGAGCGCAAGAGTTGAAGACTTGCTCGAAGCAGATCGGGCTACCGACAATCTAGGAGGACGGTCATTAGTTGCCCTTCTTGTACCAAGTCCCCTATCCTACGTAGATGAGCATGACTATGACTATTGTCGGCGATACTTGGAGCGATTGCGTTGGCGTCTGCCAAACTTGGACTTCATTTATTTCGGAGGTGGAGCAATGGTAAGGTTCTATGATTTCGTTCGACAACCAAGCAAAGATTTGTTCCTTCTAAACACTGAAAAATCTCCCGAGAGCTGTGGTGACCCCGTCATTACACGAATTCGACAAGGTGAGGCTTTTTATATCTACAATGAATATGAATCAAGTTTACAATTTACTTACTTGTAGTGCCTCGCCGTCTTTCCAATCCACGTTGCTACGCAGACGGTGTTATAACCGAGTTTGGAATCAACTCCCTTGAACAATTTGGTCGCCTGGGCAGTATAAATTTTTACAGATTGGACTCACTTTATCTACCATCCAGACAGAGCATGCGTTACCTTAAAGTGTCTCCCATTAGCCAAATTACTTTTACCGTTTGCACATCTCGAAGCATTGAACTACCATTTAGAAACCTGAGTGCGCCAATAAGGGCGGAAGAGACCTGCGAGTCTACAGCAACGAGATCATTTAGCTATGATCTTACTGATGCTTGCGCTGGCTACGATTTCGAGCCTTGCCCCCCTTTGTTTTTTTCAGTACAGGCTCAAAGCTCTGGTCAGATTTCATGTACAGCTGAAGCTTGCCAAACACCCGATGAGGCACAGTATGTCGTCAGTTTAAATAATCTGGGCTGTAACGGTGCTACAGACGTAACATTTAATCTCGCCTTAGCCGTTCCGGTTATTGCTTTCATATTCGTAGGCTATGTCTAAACACCAAAACCGTAAATAAATCTAAAAACAAGTTTGTTTATTTATATTTTCACTTCAAGAAACAAATTAATTTTGCGAAATGCTGGAAGTGGGAGATCTAGATCTATCTACCAAATCCATAGGATTCAGATTGAGTAAGTGCAAATTTCAAACGATGGGGTTGGAGACTGCCCATTAATTGGGTTAACAAAATAAAGGAAATCCCTCGAAATTTCGTATAAAATATAGAGGGTACATAAGAAAGTTTGCAGACCGTATCAAAAATAGTATTAAAAGGATATAGTTGCCAGACGTTTTTCTTTGAGTACTTAGACGCCACCCATGGTTGGTGCACTTGCTAACAGTATAAGAGCGGTAGCTACTATCTATAGCGAAGACAAAAACAGTAACTGATAAAAGGTAACTGCTGCAGCACTTTTTTCAAGATAGAGGGCGCTGTGCAATAAAGTGTAGTATAAGTAAAATTTAAATCGAAAACGGTCGTGAAGCTGGGCTCCACGCCCAGTCAAGTCAATTTTAATTGTAATTTTTAATCATTTTCCCATTAAATCCTATTTATACTCTTATGTTACAGATCTTAAAAAAAAAAAATAAATAAAAATACTCTTGAAGCGTTCAAAAAAACTTCAACATAAGTACAATCGAAGTTAAGGTGGCGCTAGAAGCGAAGGGCGTGCAGCACCCCCACCCCCCGCTAACAATTCTGTAATTCTCTCTCTCTCTCTCATCTGCTAGCAGCGGCCGATCAGTGGCCAAGCAGTGTCAGAGGGGCGGCAGAGAGCTTCATAGACCCCATAACTTCTAAAATAATAAAAAAAAATATAAAAAAAATAAAAATTGTTGGGTCTGATAGATATAACCAAAACGCACACACAACAATCAACCCCAACCTTCTAACATGTCTCAGAGTGGCAGTAAATAATTTCACGATTTGTTCGCGTTAATGTGGCCGTTTTGAAATGAACTTGCGCTGCTTAGGAAACACTAGAACCTGCATGCCCAATCCCAAATCTCTAGTTTTTATAGTTTCCGAAATCTCGACGTTCATACAGACGGACAGACGGCCAGACAAACGGACAAGGCTAGATCGACTCGGCTATTGATCCTGATCAAGAATATATATAGTTTGTGGGGTCGGAAAAGCTTCCTTCCTTTAACTCTACGAGTAACGCGTATAACAAGAAAAATAAATACATATACTCTCTTGCATTCCGATTTAATACTTGCTTTTCGAGAGCTCTTGCTGACAACCACCAAAATAGGCAACAGCACTCCATATGCCTGCTTTTGCAGAAAACCAAATTTGGGGTACAAAAGGCTCTTCTTTTGTAAATTCAACGGAAGGAGTAGGAATTTTTTTGTTTTTTGGCGCTTTCTAATCTTAATCAAGCGAAAGGATGAACAGACAGCGAGGGTAGGTTAGAAGAGGGTGAGGGGAAAAGACAAATCAAGACTCGACAGAGTGGTTTAAATCAAAAATCAGTTCGGTTATACATTAAGCACGAATAAAAAGCCTGGCCTTGTGTGCCAGTTGAGACATTCACAAAAAATTAATTTCATTTTAACTGACAAAAACAACAAAAAAGGATGCAGCTTCGTACTAAATAAAATGTCAAGCTTTATTTTGAGCATGTGCAAAGAGTAAATAAGGCAAGAAATATACAAAATTGTTTTTCATATATGAGCTCAGGTCAGTTTAAATGTTGCGTGAACTTTAAAAAGGATAAACATGTGCCCTAATCCTTTTTTTGTATTGTTAATAAATATGGTGGGAGCCAAGGCAACCTTTTCACAAGTGGAACTAAATATAAGTCGAAAATTAAATCGAAGCTCACTTCCCAAATTTACTGGTTCTCTCAAACACCTTTTATACCCTCGCACAGGGTTTTAAAAGATTGTAACGCAGAAAAAATATTGCGATTGATTTAACTCTCTAGCTTTAAGACTCAGCACACAAATGGCATAGAATCATAAAATTCGGGCGTCTAAAAATAAGTATTTTAAATTTGGGTTACAGCTTACAAACTTCTTTATACCATCCTTAAAATTTCAAAATTATATTTCACATTGTTTGTTTCGACCAACTTAATCAAATCTGTCAGAAAAACCGCAGCCAAACTCAATTCATTTAATTTTGGCGTCTGACAAATGCTACCCCAACAGAAGCTCAAGTTTCTATATGCACTTGGATGCGTCTTTAAAGACAGGCACATACTCGACAAAGCCACCGGCTGTGACCGCAAAACAGTGCCCGAGGCCGACTTATTTGCAGTTTAGAATGTGTCTGTCTGAGAAAATATTATTGCTGACTATGCATCAGAAGTTCATGATATTCTTAAATAATATAAAACATAGGGGGCTGAGTCGCATATCAGTGTCCTGACAGGCGAGCCCAGGACAAGCAAGGGACAAAACCAGGGCGACCGCAAATCAAACTGGCTGCAAAAGTTTTTGGCCCAAGGCAATGGGTAACATGTGATAAGTTTATTGTCTTGCCGCATGACGCAAGACTATAAGAGGACGGAAAAAAGGTCCAAGAACCAATATCACATTTCATAAGGGAAAATATGTTTTCTTTGTAAATAAATTAAGTTGTCTCGCCCACAAATATTAATTGCTTAATTAGCATATGCGTCTGGCGTGACCAGAGGAGCCCAAAAACCCTCTTTATACGCAAGCTGGTTGGGGGTGGACTTGGATGAACCGACAATGACATTTTCAACAGAAAACTCACCTTGAGGAAATGTGTGTCTGTTGTGCAGAAGCATGAAAAGTTTGCTTAACAGCACACGTGCCGAGGCGTCATTAAAAGTGTAATTGGAAATATCAAATTAATTTCAGATAAACTTAAGAAACCATAACCATTGAAAGTTTTCTTTAATATGTCAAGTCAAAATGATAAAGTCTCGGAAATTATTCTTCGGTGCCTAATAATTGACGCACAGACGGACATATCGTTGTGGAATCACAACCAATCGATTTGGAGAACATAACAAAATGAGCGATAAACACATGCAACAACTAGATGCAACAACTATACACACAACAGCTTGACCTTTTCATAGTTCATATTAAGAACGTTGATCGTCGATAAATGGCTTGAACCCAAAAGCCGAAATATGCACTGAGCATCATTATTTGTTACTTTCTTTTTTTAAGCTAAGCTACTAAGCGCGAACTGATCTCAAATCTGTTGATAAGCACTGATACTGAAAAGATTCGTTTATGCTTATAAAAAAGTTTATATATGGTGTGGGCCTGTCTGTAAGTTATTATCGATGCTTGGAGTTCAACGTCAGTGGCTATAATTCTAAATAACTGTGACTAGCTTTTTTAATAAATAGGAATTTCAGATATAACAAACAAATAAAGAATTTCGTTGAGCTGTGGATGCTGTTACACATATTATAAAGAATTTGAAATCTTGAATGCCGTATAATTTTCGCTGCAGCGTTAGAGGGTTGTTACTCATTTTGGGACTTTAATTATTGTTGTTTCTGCTTTGTTCACCAGCTATTGTTCCTCGAGTTTTTTTTGGTTGATTCTGATGTAGGCTATCGATTTTTCCTTTCTTACACATTCTTAACATGAA